TTTAATATAAAATATAGTTATATAAAATATATGATTAATTAAATGGATGTTCTTGAATATGATTTCACATTTTTATTTTAAAATTCTTATGGTAAGATTAATTAGCCAAATGATTGTGTTTTACTTTGTTATTTTGGTAAGTTGATAACAGTTGTGCTAAAGATTATTCCTATTTTTAGCATAACGTTTTTTACATATTGGAGCTTCATGTTAGCATGTATTAAAGCATTTAATGATCTTTAACATATTATAACTTAAAAGAGAACTATTCAAAGCATCTTGACAAAAGAACAAATAGAAGCTTAAGCATATTGAAATCTTGGTAATAATTTCTGTTAGAACATGCTCAGAACAATGAATAAGCTTCTCTATCTCCTTTCCAAATTAGCTGAAGGTATTCCCAAGGTGAGGGTTTAGGCTGATTGTGGTCTTGATGGGCCTTGGAGCTTATGAGACTGCTAGAATATTTCTTTTAAAGTAATGTATGTGATTTTAAACTGTTAGGTAAAGAAGAGTGATCTACACCTGTGTTGTTCTGTAGTAACCACTAGTCACATATAACTAAATTAATTAAAGTTTCATTTCCTCAGTTGTACTACCCACCTTTCAAGTGTTCCATAGTCACGTGTAATTAGTGGCTGCTATTGTACAGCACAGATATAGGACATTTCCATCGTCACAGAAACCTCTATTGGCCAGTGCTCATCTAAAGCATTCTTCTCATTTTCTGTAGAAGGTTTCTTATTTAGGATATACAGCTATTCTCATCTCTGCATCTTTTGGAATATTTAAAAATATCAGTCACCACACAGGCGGTGAATCTATTTTAAAAAGCATGGGGAATGACATTGTCTTTTAATTCATCACTGGGTATGACAAGATAAAAGAAAAGATCGTTTTAGCAAAAGCTTTTTACTTTCTTGCATCTTTTCTCAGTAAGCATCAGAAAATAATTATGCCTCCCTGCTTTGCATAGATGTTTCCAATATTAATTACATGAAGGATGCATTAAAATCAAGAGCACAGTACACAGCTCCAGCCTCTAGAGCTAAACAAAGTGGCTGCCCTGAATTTGGGGTTATCCATATGATTGAACTGAACCATCCAAACAGGAAAAAGGGAATCTGTTTTTGCTAACTTAACTCACATTGCTTGTATGCTTTAACATTCCACGGGTAATTGTGTGATCGCTATAATTGTAAATATTCACCCCTGGTGTACTCTATTACTCTTAAAAAAGCCAATTTGGATGGATGGGATGAGGACATTAAAGATATTAATGTGGATTTGTTCTTTAACAGTGAAAGGAAGATACTCTTAGATTTTCAGTTATATATTCATTCAAGTTGGAATAAATGTTATGGTTCTATTCACTAGACACTCAGATTTTCTCTCATCACCATTCCTGAAGGAGAAAATGTAAGTGCGTGGGAAAGAAGATAGACAGTCTCATGATAGCTACTGTGAGCCTGACATTCTTAAATGGAGCTAGAATTCTAAAGACAATTTCTGAGCACCACATTTTATTAGAACGTCTTAAATTACTTGTAGTTTTTTTATTTCTTTTTAATAGTTTGACTTCTGGTAGATTTTAATCATCTTAAAGCATACATATTCTTTTCTCTTAATTTTGAGATTGTTTGCTCTGATACGAAATCATACTTAAGATTTAAATGCATGATTAGATCATTAACTAGAAAAAAAACTGGCATCTATGTGCAGGTGATCAGATGACATAAGCAGTCTGGTTTTAATTTGTAGCCAGTACTGATTGTAACTAAAAGAGACTTGCTCTTTTTGTGGAATTGGCTGACTATTTACCTACATCTGGAGTTAATAAAGTCTTTGAGACCACATCAGTTGCGCTTTGCCGCAAGAACTCTTTGATCTGAAAAATCAAGACTGGCACAACTGCTGCTTCATAACATTGCATCTATGTTTTTGCAAGCTATGGTTAAGATACCAAAAGTAAAGTTCTTTGGCTGGGTTAGAAATGCTGTTAGATGGGCCTAAGAACCATGTTTTTCAAAACATTTTTATTAATATATAAACTTTGAACTTACGTTAGTAAATATATGATAAACTTATGGTAGTTTAGTTTTTACCATTTTCATTTATAAGATCTATCCTTCAAAAGTCCATTTATTTTTCAACGTCTGTTTATAAAAACTAACATTAAAAATAACTTTACCTCTAAAATGAGTCCATTTTATTTTCTCTGTATAGTTTCAAAATGTTTACAAGAGTAGGCAAGTCTCTTCTCCTTGGTGTGATCTATATCGGTTTTTCTTGCTTTACATGACAGCCATCTATTAACCATTATCTGATCAGTATATTATTTATTTGACAGCAATTTGTAAAGCAGTAAAGTGAGGTTTATCTTTTTATTAAAGTAAGTATATTTTGTTCGGAATACAGTGAATTGAATGGTAATAAGGATAAAGAAATATAAATTGATAAATTATGTATAAATTTAAACTAGCAAATAATGTAGGTTTTTTTGTGAAATGACATCAAAACTGGAGTTTTTCATAATGACCAGTGGGAGGCTTACCTACTGTTTCAGTCTATAACCTGTATAGAAATAGAGAATTTTTTATTTCATACTTTCAGATCAGTGATGATGTATATGATAAATAAGCATTTTTGACAAAACAACAACACATGTTCTAATGCTGGTTTCTAAATTTTATTTTCATTGTGTTTTCTTGCTACATATTTGGATTTACTTTATTTTTTGTTGTTTGTGGTTTTAGCCTAGTTTGGGAAAATCGATATATAAAGGGAACAGAGAGCATCTATCTGTGGCATCTATCTAGACACTGAATCTTGATTAAAAGAAAAAAGTACAAAATTCCTCTCCTGAAAACTTTTTCTTGCATATCATAGCCTATATAATACATTCCAAACACATTTGTGTATACCCAATTATTTCATTTTCACACTGTTTTTACGTAATACTAAGCTAGAAAATTGTTATATATATATATGAATGAAACATTTTATCTACCATATTGCCCTATCTAGGATCCTTCTGGATAATTCATAAGAATATATCTTGTCCCAAACTTCTCAGGTACCACAGGTGTATTTTTACCTTTGGGATCTGAAAGGTAGGAAACTAACCTGAGTTCCTAATCCATTAAAAAGACACACCTGTGCAAGTATCAGCACAAGTAGCAAGAAGAGTAAAAATTGGCTTTTTAACCTTTTATGTAGATGAATTTTTCAGATCACATCAGACAGCTGTAAGAAACAGTATTTGAGGACTGAACAGGGATAATACATAGCATTATAATTGCTCCTATAAGAATGATACTATTAGCTAATACTTGGTGAGTGATCATTGTGCTAGACATTTTATATATATCATCTTTTCTGATCTTCCTACCAACCACCTAATGCAGGCAGGTACTGTTAGCACTCTTTCAGATGAGATAGTTGAGTCTGGAGGGTTAAGTAATTTGCCAGAAGTCTTTACAGTTAGTTAATACCTCAGTGAAAGACTAAATGGAATATACATGGTAGTTTATGTAAATAAAAAATTTGGCTCCCATTGTAATCTCAGTGTGTGCTTTCTTGACTTTTTTTTTATTAGTGCATAGAAATATGTGCTCAGGGTAAAAATATCAAACTGTGTGGAAGGGCATAAAGTAAATGTCCTCCTTCCCAGTTCTAAGTCCAGATGTGTAACCATTAAGTTTCTCGTGTATAATTCCAGAAATTTCTTATGCTTATGAATAAATATGATTTTTTTACACATGCTCCCATAATTTTAGTTAATGGGACTCTCAAGTGGACTCTTAGGATTTCTACTTAAGTGGACTCTTAGGATTTTTATTTTGGAGTGAATTTTAATGTACATATTTCTTATCAGACTAAACAAAAGAAATGTTTTATGCACTGTTCATAATACACCTTTCCATTCTTCCTGACTCCCGCTTTACTTTTACAGACCATGTATTACCTTAAATGTATTCTTTTCTCATCTTGGTTTCAGTGGTCATCATGAAAATGGTTTGATCATGTTCTGAGTATTAAAGTTATGTGGCCTAGCCGGTGTGGCTCAGTGGTTGAGTATCGACCGTGAAGAGGTTGCTAGTTCAATTCCCGGTCAGGGCACATGACCGGATTGTGGGCTCAATCCCTAGTAGGGGGTGTACAGGAGGTATAATGATTCTCTCTCATCATTGATCTTTCTGTCCCTCCTTCCCTCTTCTTTCCTCTCTCTGAAATCAGTACAAACATTTTTTTAAAGTTATTTGATTGACCCTTTAGTTTTCCAGAAAAATACCAATGTTGTCCATTTGCCAGTTCAAAATGTTTATATTTTGCTTATCTGCAGCAAAGATGTGCCAAAGGAAATTAGTGCTGCTCTGACAAATTAAATGAGTTTCTTAAATAGTAATAAAGCATATTAGCATTTAATCTAATGTATTTTTTAATAAATCTTGTAACAGAGAAAAGAATGAATTTTTATGATTAAACCCAAATTTTATTTCATGCTCTGTTCAAAAGACATTTGTTTCCATCATCACATTTTGAATCATGAGGTTATATGAATTTATGTCTTGTAAAACAGAGTCAACATTTATGACTTTCTTCAACCACCTGGTATAATTGTCACACAAAGATATATTACAGGAATATAAGGTGGGGCAAACGTAGGTTTACAGTTGTGAGTACACAAAACAAAGTTTATTCCTGTATTACTATTTATTAACAATTGCATTATTTTTCATACAAACAACTAAATCTACTTTTGCCCCACCCTGTATTTGGAGTAGTATTTTTCTCTAGTAAGCAGCTAAAAATAAATATGTAGATAGTAACCAAGTTAGACATTATTTATGTGTACTTAAGCAATTTCTTTGGATCTGTGTTAGGCCTTCGTAGATATGAGGTAAGCCTTTTATGGCCCTTTATAATGCTACAATCATTATACATAAGTGATATGAGAGTAATTTACATTTTAATTAAATTTCGTATTTAATTTTAAGGTATATGCACCATCCCCAAATTCAGATGATTTCAACCGTGAATCTCCTAGTTATCCATCTCCCAAGCCACCAACCAGTATGTTTGCTAGCACTTTCTTTATGCAAGGTAAGTACTGCCAAATAGTTGTCAAATACTACAGCAGTTATCTATTGTATATTGGCTAAAATTGTACAGTTGTGAGGAAAAAGAATACCTTTATAGAAATTCAGACATTTTTTATCTAGGTATTTTTGGCTGATGTAAATGAAAATTTTTTAAAATTCTCTAGTGTGATTTATTGCTGACTGCATTGTTGGACTATCCAGCTAACGATTGGAGTGCCCATCTACTATTGATTGAATTTATAATTGATTTAAACTGAGAAAAATGAATTTTTCATTTTATAATTTAAATGTATGAAAGATATTAACAACTCTAGGTTCTTATTTAAATTACAGGTTCATATCATTCCTAGATTTATCAATATGAATAAAGAGTGAATATCATAGGACAGAATACGACTTGTTAAGATAGAGAAAGTATTACATTTCCATTAATTTATGTCTAGCAAATCATTTTTATTTGGTCTCCTGTGGTTTTGGACTATGGAAAGTGTATACTATGGGAGCAGTAAATTACTGCATAAGTGGTTCCTTGACTTTACATTGGTGAATGAAGTCATTGCTAACGTTTCATTTGAAGGCTGACTGTAATATAGGCATTATCAATTACTTAGGTTTACTTTTAGAGCAGTGGTTCTCAACCTTCTGGCCCTTTAAATACAGTTCCTCATGTTGTGACCCAATCATAAAATTATTTTTGTTGCTACTTCATAACTGTAATGTTGCTACTGTTGTGAATCGTAATGTAAATATCTGATATGCAGGATGGTCTTAGGCGACCCCTGTGAAAGGGTCGTTCCACCGCTAAAGGGGTCGCGACCCACAGGTTGAGAACCGATGTTTTAGAGAAACTTTTTTATTCTGCAGTTTCAGAATGTTTGATATAATGTAAATTGTTTTAGAGTAAGGACTTTTAAAAAATATTTATGAGTATACCACTCAACCTAAAATTAAATCCAACATATCCCCAAATTTGGAATTTTTATGATTCTTGCTATTAAGCTAAATCTTTTGAGGATTTTTATAATAGCTTACCTATTAGTTTGAATAACTTTTTCTCTAACTGTAAAGTTTTATTCCTTCTTTTTAGATAGTCATGCAGTTTGGAAGGGAAGAAAACTAGATAGATGACTAGATTGGAAAGGGGAGGGAAAAATATCTGGAGGGTACCCTTTGAATTTTTTAGCATCATCAAAATAAGAAAAAATTTTTAGCTAAGGAAAATTTTATATTTCTCTTTTTGTCTTAGATGGGACCCACAATTCTTCTGATCTTTGGAGTTCATCAAATGGGATGAGCCAGCCTGGTTTTGGTGGAATTCTGGGGACCTCCACTTCCCACATGTCTCAATCCAGTAGTTATGGCAGCCTTCATTCACATGACCGCTTGGTAGGCTGTAACACATGACTAGGGTGTAGCAGCACTTTGTCCGCACTTGTGTTTCTTATTGGATTACAAGTGTAAGATTTGGTTCTGCCAAAACTTCTGAAGTTTGAAATATGTCTAAGCTTACTGCATTAAGCATGACACTTTAGCTGCTAACTTGTGATGTTCTTTTTGACCTGTCACAGTAGTTGTCCAGTTATATGTGCATATTATTAAGAAAATGTATTTAATACAGTATGTCTCTTTCCCCCTTTCTCTAGAGTTATCCTCCACACTCAGTTTCACCAACAGACATAAACACGAGTCTTCCACCAATGTCCAGCTTCCATCGTGGCAGTACCAGCAGTTCACCTTACGTTGCTGCTTCACACACTCCTCCCATCAATGGATCAGATAGCATTCTAGGTGAGCTTTTTCAAGTTGGCAAAACTCCCTCCCTAATTATGGGAATTTCAGTCAACCCCATACCTTTTAAGATATTTTTAGTATTGAATTTAAAAATGAAAGAAAGGAAGAAAAGAAATATTTTCCTTTTTCTTAGTATAGAAACATCTTTAGCTACTAAGTGCAACACATGCAGAGTATTTGCTGATTTATTATGACAGTTGTGAGATAACAATGGAGAGCACCCTGGAAATAATGGCCGAGTGCTAAAAAAGCATCCCAGCTTGCTAAAATTCTTGATTTGTCTTTCTACTTGAAATATTCAGGAACCAGAGGGAATGCTGCTGGAAGTTCACAGACAGGTGATGCACTTGGAAAGGCTTTGGCATCTGTGAGTATCGATTTTATATATTGTACTAAATGAATATTATATTGATGAAATATAGTGATTACATTTTTTGGGTAGTATGTGTCATAGTTAAAGGATATAGTTATAACAGGATCAACTTCATTACTCATTGAGCACTATCCTCAGTTTGTATCAATTCATGATGCCCTTAAAACAACTTTTCTTTTTTTTTATTATTATTAGTTAAGGTATTACAAATGTGTCCTCATCCCCCCCTCCTTAAAACAACTTTTGAGAACATTCCCACAAGATCTATTCTTCTAACTTTAATTTAAATATATGTCTTTGTCTTAATGAAATAGATGTAGGCAAAAGGAAGAGAAATTTGTAAAGCACAAATTTCTGAGATTAATATTTAAAGCTATGTATTAGTTTCAAATACTTAGTGATTTGCCCATTAACATAAGTCAAGTGGAACCAAGAAAGACAACTCAGTTATTTCCTGATCCGGAGAAGGAAGTGCTTTTATAAGGAATTTTTCCTAGACAGAAAGTATTTTACATATTTTTTAAAAGGAAAAAATAATCATGTGCAAATGATTCATTCAAAATAATAGGAAATGAGAGCCTTCCCTACAAAAAGCCAGATTCATTGAAGAATTTGTGCTAAAATTAATAAAACTGATTTGGAGGAATTTCATAGTATTTTCTTGAGCATTTAGTTTATATCACATCAAGACATTAATGGCAAAGCAGTGATTTGCTTTAATAAAAGCAATGATTATGTTTTAATATGTGATCCGTAAAACATTAAAACTGAAATCCCTTCTTTTGGAATTTTTTGGGGAGGACATTTACCAGCAATTCACAAAGATTACAAATCTAATCATTTAAAAGAGGTTCCACTTCTTCATACCTTCTGAAGTTTTTCCTTAGGGTTTTTCTTTTTTTTCTCCTGAATAACATGTCTCTCAGAATTCTCACAGACTTGTCTTACATTTTCTATGAAGTGCAGTTAACTTTGTCAAATACATTTGCAGCTGTTCATGGGGAGGACAAACCACTTAATGTGAAAGTAATTAATAGGAAGCAACTATTGAACCTTTAAGGAAGTAAACGTCTTTGATTTTGGTTTCTGTAAATGAACCTTTCTTTGCAACCAAGTACAAGTTTCTTGAGAAATGAAGCCAACTCAAACTTATCTATCACATAATGGAGCCCTGCACAAAATAGAACTCAGTAAATGTTTATTGAATTCAGTCTTTTCATCATATGACAAAAATAATGGTGATAACATAACCCACAGAAATAGCGGCTATAATTTGAATGGTTACTAGGTGCTAGGCACTATACTAAGCATTTACATGACTTTTTTCATTTAATCCTAAAGAAAACCTTGTGAGGTTGGCATTATTTTCCTCATATTATAGATGAGGAACTAAGGTTTAAAAGGTTAAGTGACTTGAGCTCAGAAAGATTAAGTCTCTGGCCCTAGGGTCACCAAGGTAGGTATGGTAAAGTTCATATATATTAGATGAGAACCCTGAACTGATGAGCTTTACTACTTTGTACTTCCAGAAAGAGCAATGGTGCAGTGACTTGTTTTACAGATTGGTGAGGACTAAACAAAGGCGGTTGTCTATTTAATTGCCACCTGGTGAAAATACCTACTTAGGAAGAAAATTATTCTATAACTAGAAGCCTGGTGCACAAATCTGTGCACTGGTGGGGTCCCTCAGCCTGACCTGTGGGGATCAGGCCAAAACCAACTCTCCAACATACCCCGAGGGGTCCCAGATTGCGAGAGGGTGGAGGCCAGGCCGAGGGGCCCCACCGGTGCACGATCGGGGCCAGGGAGGAACCACAGGAGGGCTCCAGGGCGTGTCCAACCCATCTCACCCAGTCCAGATCCACCATACCCCAGCAGCAAGCTAACCTACTGGTCGGAGCTTCTGCCCCCTAGTGGTCAGTGTGTGTCATAGCGAACTGTCGGACACTTAGCATATTAGGCTTTTACTATATAGGACTAGAGGCCCGGTGCATGAAATTCATGCACGGGTAGGGTCCCTAGGCCTGGCCGGCGATCAGGGCTGATCGGGGCCTTCCAGCTGCCAGCTGGGGCCTCTATACCCTAGCTGCCGGCCGCTGGCTCGGGGCTGCCTTTGCTCCATGCTGCCCCCTGGTGATCAGTGCACATCATAGCAAGCGATTGAACTGGTCTCCCTGTCGAACTCCCAAGGGGATACTTTGCATATTAGGCTTTTATATATATGGATATTAAGTCCAAGGGCCTCTCAGGTATTTGATTGGCCTGCTGTATTCCTTGTGCTGATTCTGAAATAATCCAGTAGCATATATTGCGTATGTAGGAGGATAAATAATATTCGAGCCTTTAATACTAGGAACTTTTAAAAATATAACCTGCGTTTCAGGGGCTTTTTTCTCAAAAGTCTGTTTATTATATTAAAAGAAGATTTATGGGAAGCAGTCTTGGCATTCAGGTAGGCAAGAATTAGTGATGTCCTTCAAGCTCTTTTTTAGTTACCTTTCAAGTCCTTGACTATTTTCCCATATTTATGACCAACATATGAGCCAATCAGTTGGCATTTAGAAAATCCAAAATCAGTGTTAGTGGAAGCTAGGGAAGAATGTTTAATCTAGTTAGTGGGTGGGCTTTGGTTGCCATGGAAACTCAATTCTGTCATCCTATGTTGTTACTAGGCAGGAGCAGCCAGGTCATTCCATAAATCATTTCTGTCATAGCTGATGGTGATGCATTCCATCTGCTCCATCACTGCATGCCATAGTCTGCACACTTCAAATCCCTTCCTTCAATCCATCTGCTGCCCCCTCCCCACTGGACACCTCCCCCAAGTACATTCTTTCTCTAACAGACTCACATTCGCTTTAGTGCTCTCAGAATGTACTGAAAAGCAAATATATTACATTGGACATAGGAAGGATTAGAAGAGATGAGGAGAAGGAATTTTATGAGGATTACATTTAAGAGTCTAGCATATTAGAATTTTATGTTTGATATTATAGATCTTTGAAAGTGGTGACCATGAGTATTTTGAAATGTTAAGTTCTTTATAATGTGACATTTTTAACATAGCATCTAGTTTTAGATGGAGAAGCACCATCCTATTATCATTGGGAGATATTTCTAGCGCCCCAGTTGTCTGTTATATGTCTTAGAAGGTCTTTCATGTGTAAAACATCAGAGGGTACAACCTTTGTTCTTCAGTTTAGGTATTAAAGAGCACATAAAATACTGTGTGATTAAACATGTAAAGCCAGATAATACATTTGCAAAGGTTCCTTTATTTTAGGTTTAAGCCTGGATAATTGTGGTCTTAATCTCAGGATAGCTAAAAAGAGAATTGTACATGAAAGTATTTACACAAAGTTCCCAAAGCCCTGTGGATTATGCATTAGTTTAGATTATAAACTAGGGTAGATAGAAGGAAAGGAAAATCTGGGCATTCGTGCCGTTTCTAATGCATTTCCCTGAACATTTGCCAAGACAATAACCCTTTAAGATTGTGCCCATGGAGAGTTATATAGAGGAAGAAACATCTGGTTTATTTCAGTGCTTAATACCATATCAAAACACTTGGTCTTTAATTTAGAGGAGATCAAACAAGAGAACTGTTTAACTTTGTTGATTATATCAGACTTCTTTGTGATAATTTATGTTTCGATTTCTACCTCAGAGCAAAGAAGAGAGAGTTTTAATCTGGATAGTTAAATGGTCAGTAGTCTTTGACAAAAGAAAAGAAAATTCAGGGAAGTTGATGTTTAAAAGTAATTCATGAAATAAGTGTCTTTGTTCCTTAGACTCAATAACATTAGCATAATAAAGATTAACTGAAATGTGCACTGTAGTGTTTAAAAAATTGGGCTCACAGTTCCAAGGTTGGGCTTGGGAGCTCCCTATTGTTTCTTTTTTGTCTGAGGCCCTTTTCATTACCCTCTGGCTTATTGGCACCCTGCTGATTGGAATAGACCATGACTGATAGGAGGAGGAGCCTTATTTGTTGCAGTAAAATGAGGCATATTACCTCTTAAGCCTGGCAGAAGGTATTGGGAGTTATTCATCATTGGTCATTTAACAGTACTGAGGACCATGGCTGCATGCGGAATGAACCTTACTTTGTGTTTATGCTGTAGATTCCAAATCACTCCCGTTCCCATTTTTAAATGACTGACTTTTTTCTTTTTTTTTTTTCTTTCAAACATCACCATAGGAGTCCTTTAAGGTCAACAAGTAATGTATTCCTGATTTAGAATGCTCTCTGTTAAACAAGACTTTATGTTTAGAATTTCTTAAAGTAACACAACAATTTCTATATAGAATAAGTATAATTTGTATGTTATTTGGTAATAGAATAATCATGCAGAGGTGAAGTTTAACTAAATGACCTGTGATCTAAAAGTCTGTATTATTTTGCCTTTTTAACATTGTGTTGCTCCTCCTCTCCCCACATACACATTCTTTTTATGAAAGCAACAGGGACAAAAAGCCTGTAGTTCAGGAAAAGTATTAATAACAATACTATCTGTTATCACTTTAGGGCAGAGTAGAACCAGGGAATGTGATGGCTGAGTAGAGAAAATGGCTTTTATTGTACAAATGGAGAAGTTGCATTAGAAAAAACACACTAAAGGTTATATATACATTTTTTTACTTGATACGTTTTTGGGACTTCTATTTTCACAGTGAGTTTTAAAAGCTCATACCTATTTTATATACAGCATTCGAGCATTTTGCTAAGTCATTGCCAGGTAGTGATAAGTAACTCTGAGGTAGAACTTCTTCCTTCTTTGAGATAAAGAAATTGTCACCAGCCCTGGCCAGGTTGTTCAGTTGGTTGGAATGTCATCCCACACACCTAAAAAGGTTGCGGGTTTGATTCCCGGTCAGGGCACATACGTAGGTTGTGAGTTTGATCCCTGGTCAGGGTGCACAGGAGGCAACCGATCAATGTTTCTCTCTCACATAGATGTTTTTCCCTTTCTCAAATCAGTTTAAAAAGAAAAAGTTGTCACTAGTCCTTTGCATGATTAGGGATTATGTAACACTAATGGCAGAGTTATCAGGGAGAATAAATATTGATAGTTTAGTTACACTCTCAAAAGCTTATACCTGCCTAACAGTGTGGTATGGACAGCTGAGTACATTAATTCTCAGAAATAGTGGAGCCTCACTATATTGTTCTCAAAGCTTCACCATAAAACTGATTTGTAAGTAAATTCATCTTTATCAAGATCTTT